TCCTTTCTTGCAGGACAACACCTTATCACGGCTGTTGCAGATCAGATGTTTGGATTCAAGACAACATCGTGGTGAGCAGGACAAAGCTCTTCCTTGGAGATAGATCAAGATGGGTAGCCGTGTCCGTCTGTTTGTAGCGGTAGAAAAGAGCAAGAGTCCAGGAGCACCTTAAAGATGAACAAATTTTGGGGCAGGTGGGTCACTGCTCACTTCAGCTACGAAGTGCCCCAAATTTTGTTAGTCTTTAAGGCAGGGGTGTCGAACTCATTTGTTATGAGGGCCAGATCTGACATAAACGTTACTTTGTCGGGCCGTGGCCGTGTGTGCCATAAAACATAATGCCAGGTACCGGAGATAGAAACTGTGCAAAGGAACAGCAGCTGGTAAGCTCTGAGTTGGTGTGTCCTCACTGCAAGGCCCCCTGGGGTGGGAGGGGTGTGCAGAGGAAAACCCACAGAGGCGGACCAGAGAGGCCGCAGTACAATGCCGGGCAGGTGCTCCCACGATGCTTGACGGCTGCAGGTGACGTGGTTCTGCTGTGCTAAAGCTATAATGGAGTGGCTCCGCCCACTTCCCCCAGCACTCCCTCACTTGCAGCAGTTGCTCGTGGGCCATATAAGAACCCTGGATGGGCCGGATCCGGCCCCCGGGCCTTAAGTTTGGCACCCCTGCTTTAAGGTGCTACTGGACTCTTTCTCTTTTCTAAAGTTCCTCCTAATTGCTTTCTCCCCATATGTACCTACTCAGAGTCCTGAAGCAGGGCTGGCTCAAGATGCTTTGTCACCCAAACAAGGAACCGTCTCTCCCCAGGCGCTGCCGGCCGTCCTCAGGGCAGCCCCGCTAAGGGCAGCCTGCCTGGCATTGACCTGAGCCTGTGCCTCTTCCCTTCCCGCCCTGAGGAAGGGGCTCCCTGAGGGGGTGGGGGTGGGGGTGCCATCGCTAGAAGTTCATATGTTGCCCTGTAGAGCTGTTTCAGTTGCTAGTGATCCGAATGGAGTGTCGGGTGCAGGCATTTGGGCGTGGGTGGGAGGGGGATTGTTTGGGGCCATGTTGTCTTTTTTATGGCTTAATTTTGTACTTTAAATGGGAGCTCAAGTGGTTATGACGCTGAACTGCAGGCTGTGGAAGGTCGGTAGTTCAGCAGTTCGAGACCCGGGTGCCGCATGACGGAGTGAGCTCCCGTCTCTAGTTCCAGCTCCTGCCAACCTAGCAGTTCGAAAGCACAAAAATTGCAAGTAGATAAATAGGGACCACTTCGGTGGGAAGGTCACAGCGTTCCGTGCGCCTTGGCGTTTAGTCATGCCGGCCACATGAGCACGGAAACGTCTTTGGACCGCGCTGGCTCTTCGGCTTTGAAACGGAGATGAGCACCGCAACCCTAGAGTCGGACTCGACTGGCTTTCGAGCGCAACCCTAGAGTCGGACTCGACTGGCTTTAGGGAACCTTTACCTTTACCTTTGTACTTTAAGTTGCCTTGAGCTGTGGGGAAAGGTAGAGTATAAACATTTTAATAAAGAAGCCAACCCAAGATAGTGGAGCCGGATCACTGGTCCATCCAACATGGTCTCATCTTACTGACAGTGGCTATCCAAGCAGAGAAATGTCTTTCCTGGCACTTGATACCCTTTAACTACAGAGAGAAGGAATTGAATGTTGGCTCATGTGCACACCAAACGTGTACTCCAAGACTGAGAAATGCTTTTGAATGGTGCTTATAGGTGAGAGAGAGACCAGTGGTTCCTTTCCCACAGATTCTGTTGAGAAAGTTAAGAACATAAGAGACGCCAATGTTGGATCAGGCCAAAGGCCCATCCAGTCCAACACTCTGTGTCACACAGTGGCCAGAAACACCAGGTGCCATCAGGAGGTCCACCAGTGGGGCCAGTAGAAGCCCTCCCACTGTTGACCCCTCCCCCAAGCACCAAGAAGACAGAGCATCACTTGCCCCAGGGCCCCCATCTATACTATGTGGCTCATAGCCACTGATGGACCTCTGCTCCATATGCCTATCTAATTCCCTTTTGAAGCTGTCCATGCTTGTAGCCGCCACCACTTCCTGTGGCAGTGAGTTCCATGTGTTCATCACTCTTTGGGTGAAGAAGGACTTCCTTTTATCCGTTCTAACCCGACCGCTCAGCAATTTCATGGACCTCTGCTCCTTTCAGAGTTACTTTCACTATTCTCTACATCGTTTTCCCTACTAACCTTTGACAATATCTTAATCCTTCAGCATCTGTTCTGTGGACTAAAGATTGTGAATTAATTAGCACGAGTCAGTCTTGTTTTCGTTTTTGATCAAAGGTCAAAAACAAACCACAATGTAGCCTGGAGTCTGGCAAGATCTGTTAGTGCTTTGCAGGAGACATCTTCCCTGGGACCTGGCTCAGGATGAGATCGTGTGAGGGGCGGGTGGCCGAGGGCTTCCTGCCCCTGAGGGCCCCCCCTCCATGACTTGTGCCGGCCTTGCCTTCTCTGCAGGGAGCTGGGTCAGCAGCAGAGCACTGTGGAGCTGGAAGCCCCCTACGTGACCGCGGATCAGGTGGCAGCCCTTGAGCGGAGCGTGAACGACAAGATCCGAGCCCGAATCCCCGTGGTGGTGCGGCACCTGGCGGAGGGCGACGCTGAGGGCGACGGGGTGAGCAGGGGCCCCGGCCAAGGGGGAGAAGGCGGGTCCCGCCCCTTGTCAGCTCTAACCTATCACTGCCTTGCAGGTGAGGAGCCGTGGCTTGCCAGACGATCACACCGGCCCCGTGCGGATCGTCAGCATCGAGGGCGTGGACACGAACATGTGCTGTGGCACGCACGTCTCCAACCTCAGCGACCTGCAGGTGAGGCGCAAGAGGGAGGCCTCGGCCGACCACAACCCTTCAGGCTGTCCCGTCGGTGTGAGGGCAGCTTTCTGCCCCATATTTCTCTGGGAAGAGACAGTTTCCTTTCCCTGCCCGCTCGGCATCCCCCCCCCCTTCAGAGCAGATGTGTCTTTGTTTCAAAGGTTATTAAACTCCTGGGCACTGAAAAGGGGAAGAGGAACAAGACCAACTTGGTTTTCCTTGCTGGAAACAGAGTGCTGAAGTCTCTGGCGCAGAGTCATGCCACCGAAAAGGCCCTTACGTCGCTGCTTAAGCAAGTATCCCGCCTCTTCTCTCCTCCAGAACAACCCCCCTCCCCAAATAATCCACTCAGAGGGCTCAGTGACCATACCGTCAATGGCTGGTATTTTTGTCTTTTAAGGCAGGGTGGTAGTGAGATTTATAGGATGGCTGTTTGTTTCATGCTTATATAAATTAGACCTTTCCCTCCTGGCGTCCCTTGGGGCTAGAGATGGGTAACTTGCGTTTTCCAGCGGTTGCAACTGACTAGAGCGATGCCACGGCTGTTTCCTACTCCATCCCACCCCCCTTTCACCTTCTGCTGTCCTTCCTTCCCCCCGGCCTGCATCCAATTAGCCGGGGACCCCGGCCCTCCCTGAGAGATCCTGGTTTGTCTTTGTCATTTCAGAAGTGGCCCCGAGGAGCATGCGGAAGCTGTGAAGAGGTTGCAGAACTCTCTGAAGCAACTGCAGAAGGTACCGCTGGGTGGACCTTGCAAGGAGCCCTTCAGTAAGACCAGTCCAGAGCTTGGCTTCTCCGTGGTGGCCGTGACTGGAGGTGGAAGGGGGGTCTGCGGGTCGGGTAGGAAGTGGCTGGAACCAGACTGTCCGCAGAGGCTGCTTGTGCGAGCCCAGTGGTCGACAAAGGCAGGCTAGAAGCCCCGTTGAGGGAGCTGTCCCCCGAGCAGCAAAGCAGGCCTGGCTTGCTGTCCTTGATAACAGGATAAATGTGGCTCGGCCTGCAAAGAGTGAGATGTCCAGATTGTGACCCAGGTGGGGCCAGGGATGTCCTGCAAGACAGCCACGAGGGAGGAGGCGCATCTCAGTGCTCTGGTTTTTCCGGTGGGCTAAGACCTCCGCCTCCCAGAGGCCCCTGGGGGCTGTCCCCTGGTATCCAGGTTCTTGGCAGCTGCACCGTGGCACGGCCACCTTGCAACCCTTTCCTGTGTCCCGGCGCTGGTCTGGTGGATCTTCCAAAAGCTCAGCTTCCGCTTTGGCCTAACAGAATGTCAGGATCCACAGCAAGACAACGAAGTACACGCTTCCAAGAAGGTTTTACTTTTATTGAAAAGCCATAGATGCAGTAACATGAACACTGTTAGGAATGGCGGGTAACCTAAGCGCCTAATAGGATATAGGGCATTTGTATGCGCCCCCCCCCCAAGTACATAAGAGACGCCAATGTTGGATCAGGCCAAAGGCCCATCCAGTCCAACACTCTGTGTCACACAGTGGCCAGAAATACCAGGGCCATCAGGAGGTCCACCAGTGGGGCCAGGACATTAGAAGCCCTCCCACTGTTGACCCCCCCCCCCCAAGCACCAAGAAGACAGAGCATCACTTGCCCCAGAGCCCCTATCTATACCTTGTGGCTAATAGCCACTGATGGACCTCTGCTCCATATGCTTATCTAATTCCCTTTTGAAGCCGTCCATGCTTGTAGCCGCCACCACTTCCTGTGGCAGTGAATTCCATGGGTTAATCACTCTTTGGGTGAAGAAGGACTTCCTTTTATCCCTTCTAACCCGACCGCCCAGCAATTTCATGGAGTGCCCAATTAGATGGCCTCCCGCGCGCGGGCATTTGGCAGATTTTCTAATGGCCGTGAAGCTGGGAACGTAAGAAGCTCCCACGAAACCTAGATACTACCAACTCCTCCAGTGACCTTGAAAGATACGCGTTACAGCTTTGATGCAATTAAGCGCATGGGAAGGAATGCAAAGCAATTAGAAACATACACCACACTCATGGCAGCTTCAGCTGACACCTTGCTGGGCCTTCCACGCCACTTCCCGTTCCTCTGGAATCCAGCCTGGTGGTGTTGGCATCTTGCCGTTTCCTTCCCTTTCAGAACAACTTGAACCTACAGAGAGATTTAGCGGTCCTAATTGCTCAGCAGTTCAAAAGCAGCCCAGCTCGGGAGCCCGTGTTTGTGTTGCACAGGTGAGGGCGAAGACAGCTCAATGCGGGCTTGGCATGGAGATGGGGGACTTGCATTTCATTTCCCCACATTCTAAGTGCCCCAAAGGTGGGGAAATTCTGCACTTGGCCCAAAATACGACATTGACAAGAAGAGAACCCACAAGGACCTGGGTGGGGGGAGGGGGAATTCCATTTGTCCTCCCCAACCCACCGTCCCCATGTGACCTCGGCTTCTTCCCCATTGCTGGCCCCCCCTCTTTCTACTATGGCACCAAAAGTGTGCGTGTGCGTGTGCTTTTGCAGTTGTGCAGACATTGTGCAAGCCTGTGTTAGCAGAAAATGGAAAGATTTGTTACATTTCTACTTTTGAAAAATCCCTGTAAGATTTTGAGGAGAGTACACTCCTTAATTATCCTCATACCAGTCCAGTTAGTGCTGGCTTATTTTCACATGGAGCTGATGGATCCTGTCCGGGAGGCGGGGGGGTGGGCGAGTTGGTACTTTTGAGGTGCATCTTTGGGCTCGTCTCTGCTAAATTTGTTGCGGGGGGAATCGCAGTGAAGTCTTGTGTTGGAACATGTTGTCCCTCTCTGTAGGAAAGATGGTGATTCTGAGTTCATGAACATTGTGGCGAATGAGATTGGCACAGAGGTGAGTCTCCCGTTCACAGTAGACATGCCGAGTGTTGTGGGCTCCCTGCAGCTCCCCTGCTGGTTACCCAGTTAGCCAGTCTGGCGTAGCGGTTAAGTGCGCGGACTCTAATCTGGGAGAACTGGGTTTGATTCCCCGCTCCTCCAGTTGCAGCTGCTGGATGACCTTGGGCAAGCCATAGTTCTGACAAGAGCTGTCCTTGAAAGGGCAGTTCACTCAAAGCTCTCTCAGACCCACCTACCTTGCAGGGTGTCTGTTGTGGGGAGGGGTATAAATCCAAACTCTTCTCCTCTTATTATTCCAAGACATTTACAAATCAGACCATACCGAGTATTTAACTTTACTAAGGTTTTGTAACATACAAGACGTAAATTAAAATGAAATTAAAAGGAACGTCATTGGCAACAGAAGTGGTATTTGGAGGTTTAACACACACAAAAAATGTTCCTTATAAATCTCGCAAAGGATAAGGAAGGGCAGATAATGGGATTAAATGAGAAGATGAGGGCAAAAGTTAACAGAAGTTAACAAGTGTGGTGAAAATATTCTACCAACTCAGTGCTAGGATTTAGCAAGTAGAAGTTACGATAAAGAGGTTAAAGCAATAGAGTATTTCACTTGAACTTTCAGTCTTGAAACGTGGTCCTTTCAACAGGAAACCCTCCTCTTCCTGTCGGTGGGAGACGAAAAGGCATCTGGGCTTTTCCTGCTTGCAGGGCCTACCGAGGCTGTGGAGACACTCGGGCCCAGGTGAGACGCCAGCCAGATTAACACTTGGAATCCACTGCCACAGGAAGTGGTGGCGGCCACAAGCATGGCCGGCTTCAAAGGGGAATTAGATAGGCATATGGAGCAGAGTTCCATCAGTG